GCGGCCAGGGGCCTGCGGCAGGCAGGTGCCTGCGGGCTGCGGGGGCTCCGCGTGGAGGGGCACGGCCCCGGGCCACAGCCCCATCGGCCGCTGGGGCGGCAGCGTCCCTGCGTGCAGGGGACGTCCCGAGCAGGGAGCAGGGGCGTGGGGGGGAGCCGTAGCTGGGTGCTGCCCCCCAGATAGGAGCAGCAGCACCGGTGAGTGCAGCCCCGCAGTTGGGGTGAGGCCCACAGGTGGCAGCTGAGTCAGGGTTGGGGGCAGCCCCCCGGGTGGGAGCTGCGCTGCCTGTCCCCAGGCACCTGGTAGGCCGGGCCAGGCAGAGGGCTGAGGGGCCAGGTGGGTGGCAGTGGGGACAGGGAAGGGTTGTGGGGGTACCGGCATCGGTCCGCGGACGGTGGGCTGCATCCCGGCGGGGTCCGGTGGCGGCACAGTGGCATCCAAGCAAGTGGCGTCAGGCGTCAGAGGCACCGTCAGCGCTCGAGGGAATCTCTCTGTGGGGAAACGCCAGACGGGGCGCTGGGCTGAGAGCCGGGGCATTGGGGTGAGATCCGGGTGACAGGAGTGGGATCTGGGGTGCTGGGCTGAGATCCGGGTCACAGGGGTGTTTTCTGGGGCTCTGGGATGAGATCCGGGGCCACAGGGGTGAGATGTGGGGCGCTGGGGTCAGCTGGAGCGTCAGAGCAGGGGGAGCTGCTGCCTTACCTGCCATGACAGCTGGAGAGTGGCAGTTGGGGGAGCCCCTCCCCCCACGGGGGTTCCGTGACCGTTGGGCTCAGCCCCTCTCCCCCCGGCTTGCCATGCTTTGCCTTTTCGTACCCAGACCTCCTTCCCATCCCAGTGGTTTCCCATCCCCAGGATCAGTGACCGTATGGATGGGCGTTTTGCAGCCCAGTGCCCTTCCTTCCCAAGGCTCTGCCCGTCATCCCTGTGGGGATTTGCCATCCCTGCAGTGCGTTCTCCCCCCAGGGATGGTTTCCCCTCCCAGTCAGGATCTCCCTTGCAAGCATTGCCAGCCGTCACCACCCAAAACCAGCCCGTGGCTTAGGGCTTAAACTGCCAGCTTTAATTACCAGTTCTGGGAAGCGGCGGCAGCCGTGGTGGGCCAGTTGGACAGGTGACAATGACAAGGAGTGATTTCGGTGGGACGGCCCCGATTCAGCTGAGAGCAGTGCAGGAATGAGTCAAGGCCCGTGCAGCGTATGCCGAGCTTGTTGCTGTGAACTGGTGCTGTGTGCCTCCAGAACATCGCTCACTTTACATCGTGGGCTTTTTCTCCTCGCTTTGGCCGTGTCCTGGGGCATTGCTGGTGAGCACAGAGCAGGCAGCGTTGTCTTTTCTGCTCTTCCCTCTTCTGCGCTTCCCTTTTCTGCTCTCTTCCTCACCTGCTCTTCAGCTCTTCTCCCTTGGTGTTATCCTTTCTTTCTGCTCATCTGCAGTTCTTCCTTCCTTAATCGTGACTCCTCTCCTGCATCTGTGCTCCTCTTCAGCTTTTCTTTCTTACCCGTATCCTCTCTTCTCCCGTTGTTCTCCTCGTCTGCTCTTATGTCTTAGCTGTTTCCTCCTTGCACATCTTAGGCTCTTCTGTTCTGACCTATGCTATGTGCTCTTCTACTTTGCTGCTCTTCTCTGCTCTTCTGTGCTCTCTTCCTCCCTTCTATTTGTTTTTGCTTCTGCCCTTCTCCCTGGCCTGTGTCCTCTCTGCCCATCTTCTGTACTTCTGCCGTACCCGTGTTCTCTCTTCTGCTCTCCAGCTGCTCTGCACTTCTGCTTTTCTGTCTCACCTGTCTTGTCTCCCTTTCTGCTCTTCTCCTTGTCTGCACATTGTTCTTACCTTCATCCTCTCTGTTATGCTTCTGCTCTTGTCCTGTTCTGCTCGTCTTTTCCCTGCTTTGCTGTCTTGCCTGTATCCAACCGTTACCTCTGCTGCACTTTTCATCTTCTGCACTTGTTTCTTACCTGTATGCTTTCTTCTTTTTCTTCTCTTCTGCTCTTCTTTATTTCTGCCTTGTGTGTATGTGCTCTTCGCCTGTTCTGCTCTTTTAGAGCTCCTGTCAGCATCCGGTCTCTGCACCCCAACTGTGTGTTGGACTTGATTTTGGGGTGGAGGAAGGTAGGTAGGGCCTCGATTTGTGCAAGAGGGGCTGTTGTGCTGTGCCCAGGAGGTGATGAAAAAGAGCCCTGAGGAGCCAGGAGCACCAAGGCAGCGTGTTTCTGCAGAGGCCGCAGCATAAGCAGATGTGAACCTCGAAGGAGTGCTTTGTAGCTCCCCAGGAACTGCTTTTGGGTGGGGGATTTTCTGGAGTTGTTTGCAGTTGTTGCTCGGAGGAGCTGAGGCTTTTCTCCTTGTATCTTTGCAGGAAAGCAGAGCGGAGGGAGCGTCTGTGGTGAGACGCCCAGGTGAAATTGCCTTCCCTGCACCAGCAGCCTGTGTGTGTCCACGTGATGCATGGAGAAGAGAAGCCTGCAGTTCTGTGAGTAAGCCTGGCAAATGGAAGAATGGCTGTGGCCTTTTTGGCAAGTGTGTGAGGAGGGGTCTTTGGACAGGCTGCTCGTTGGTTGGTTGGTTGTTTTTGCAGGGAAATGCCATTTCAGTTGTTAGTTGTGACAGATGTTTTGTGCTTGTTTGGAGAAGCTTGGTCATGTAGACAAGCAGCGCTCTCGCCCCGAGGAAGTGAGAAATCTCCTGTGCATCCAGTCTTCTTGATGAGCCTTCCATTGCCTTTCCCCAATGCCTCGAAATGCCTGTATCAATGGCGGGGGGATCAATGGGGAAGAGATGAGGTGCCATTTGTGTGCACGCTCTGCACGCGGAGCAGGCGTCCCCTGCTGCGAGCTGGGAGCCCTGCAGAGCGTGCTGGATTTGTTTTCCTTCCTTGTTGGAGCGCTGCCCCGTGTGAGGCCCCATCTGGACTGCTGCGTCCAAGTGTGGAGCCCGCAGTGCAAAAAAGACAGGGAGCTGTTGGAGAGGGTCCTGAGGAGGGCCGCTAGGATGATCAGGGGACTGGAGCAGCTCCCCTGTGAGGACAGGCTGAGGGAGCTGGGCTTGTTCAGCCTGGAGAAAAGAAGGCTGCGGGGTGACCTCACTGCAGCCTGCAGTACCTAAAGGAGCCTACGGAGGGGAGGGGAATCAAGTCTTTGAAAGGGTTGACATGTATAGGATGAGGGGCAATGGTTTTAAGTTGAGGGAGGGGAGATTTAGGTCAGACATCAGGGGGAAATTCTTCACCCAGAGAGTGGTGAGGTGCTGGAACAGCTGCCCAGAGAGGCTGTGGATGCCCCGTTCTTGGAGGTGTTCAAGGCCAGGTTGGTTGGGGCCCTGGGCAGCCTGGTTTAGCATTCAACGTGGAGGTTGGTGGCCCTGCACGTGGCAGGGGGGATGGAGATTCGTGATCCTTGAGGTCCCTTCCAACCCTGGCCATTCTGTGATGCTGTGATGCTTTTGTAGGTGCTGAGTGCACCAGTGTCCTAGAGAGAGCCCCAAGGCCCTTGTTTTATTCAGGGCCTTTTTCTCCTTCTCTCAGTTGTTTTTTCTCCTTTTCATTCTGTTGATATGGCATCTGTGGCCCATCAGATAATTCAGCAGGGAGTGGTGTGTTCTTGCGAAGCTGTGGCAGGTGGGTGCATGCACTTCACTGCTGGTATGACAGAGCTGAAGGTGCCTGAGGTGTGTGAGTGCTTTGGGAGTTGGATGCAGAGTTCTTGACCAAGGAAGAGCCCTTTGGTGCAACCCCTGGGGAGAGGCTGCGCTTGCTGAAGGGAGAGAGGATTCTTTGAGTGATGTGAGGGGTGTAGGAAGGGAGCTGTCAGGTTTAGGGTTCCTTTGCCGTGCTCTGCCCAGGCTGTGACAGTGCTGGGGTTGGATTTTGAGTCACTCTGAAGAGCAAATGAGAGAAAGGGTTTTTTGAGCAGCCTGAAACCCTGCAACTGTGCTGTAGGGGCTGCAGCCCAGGGTAGGTGCCCTGTCTCCACAATTGCTGCCCACGCTCTTCCCTTCTCCACAGTGACCACGGCCATCCCCTGAAGCTCCAGTCATGAAGACCCTGCACATCATGCCTGATGGCCGTCTGTCTGCGCTGCCCATGGCTGTGATGGGTGCAGCTACCTCATGTCCCCTCAACCTGCCAGGCATCCAAGCTTCTCCTGCTCCACCAGCTCTCCACTGACTCCCACACCTTTGCCACCTCCCGTGTCGTGTGGTGGCAATGCATGGTGCTGGGGCGGGCCCAAACTCCCACCCTGACAGCAGGCACGTTTCCAAAAACTCTGCTCACTTCCTCATCCTGCTGGCTCGTGAGCAGATCCTGTTGTCAGCTCTGCCGACCGGCACAGCAGAGGTGGGATTGTTACAGCAGCCTGGAAAACAGCAGGGGAAAAACCATTTCCCCCTTTGGCTGTTATTTGCTGAGAAATGCTGTCTGGTGAGTGTTGAGTCAGGGCCTGAACCACCAGCCCAGATGGAGCATCTGGGGAAAGGACCCAGTCGGCCCTGGGAGCGCAGGTGAGGGCAGTTCAGTTGTATGATGGAATGAGGGGAGCCTGGCTGCAGCTCTCTTAGACCTCACTGAAGGGCTGACCCTGCACTGGGCAAGGATCTCTGGCTGGAGATCCCTGCCCTGTGGAGTTTTCCCTGTGAGCCTGGATCTTCAGGGACAGGTGAGCACTTTCCCTTTTCTTTGTAACTCCCTTCTGTTGTGCCAGTCCCTTTGTGGTTACACCTGCTCCCACTGCACTGATCATTCTGATTGTTACAGATGTCCTCTGCCCCTTCCCACCTGTTAAGCAAACAAGGCGATGACAGAGCCTTTATTTGAGATACAGGAGCTATAGAACAGGATGATATGCAGGTGTTGCCCAGCTTTTGGGGGACTCGCTGTGACCTCCCTGTCTCCCCTCTGCCTTGTGCACTGGGCTTCACAGCATCCTGATGGTGAGCAGTGGTCCTGTGGAGATGCTGAGCAACGATTGTGAGCTGCGCCCTTTTCCTGGACCCGTATCCAAGCCCTTCTCAGCGCAGAGCCTGTCTCTCTTTCCCTGGGGTTCCGTGGATCAGTCAGCAAGATGGGACTTTGCCAGCCAGCTGGTTTCAGCTTCACCACCCCAATGACAGCAGGGCAGTCCTGCAGCTCAATGCAGCCCTACGGCTCTGCTCCTTTGCCAGGCTGGAGAGCTGAATCAGCTGCGATTCTGCAGATCCTTCCCTGAGTCCTGCTGCTGACCACTGATACTTGTGCATGCTCTGGGCCGCATCAGGACTGGAAAGAGGAGTAGCTATCAGGCGGAAGGATCTGGCCTTCTGCTGGGTGACAGCCACCTGCATGGCCTGTTCCTGCTTTCTCTTTTCCCCAGGTGGCATTGTGCTTCCCAAGCAGTGTGTGGACCTTTCTGATGGGAGTGAGCAGCAAGGAACTGACTGAATCATGGAATCACAAGGTTGGAAACGACCTGTAAGAGTCTCAGCTATGGAGGTCCTATAAGGGTCTCAGCTTCCTTCCTGCCCTGCGCTTGACTGAGGGACCCTGCAACCAGCTCAGGAGGTCAGAGGGGGCCATGGGCCCAGCTGTGCCAGCTTTCACTGCGGAAGGGAGCAGTTCAGGGAAAGACACAGCCTGGGTGAGCCTGAGCTTTACTCTAGCATCTGAGGGAGCTGTGGACATCAGCTGTGGACACGACTCATCGAGGTGTGGGTCAGCTGTGGATGCTCAGTGTTCTTAAGCAGCCCAGCTGTATCTCACAGGCTGTAGTCACAATTTCTCTGTGAGGCTGAGATACCCTGAGGATCGTGGCATCTCTCACTTTGCTCTCACGCCCGTACTCACAGTCTCTGAGGAACGACTTGAGCCCTGTGACCACGTCCTCGCTCGTGTGCTGGAGTCACTTTTGTGCCTTTTGGTGTCAGGGCTCTTGGGGCAAAACGTGCCTGGACACTGCCACACCTTTAATGCCTTTCTGCTGTGCACGCTGGAGGATGCAGAACTGGCTGGGTCTGGGATGCTTTATGAAGCTGGTCTGACCTCTTTCAGCAGCAGTGAGAGCTCTTCTCACCTAGTCTAACCCTTAGAGCAGCATAGAGTGACCAGTGCTATGGAAAGAGCAGAAGTGTTCCTTCTGAGCTGATTTACCCCTGCGCCTGCTGTGTTTCGTTTCACTTTTTGTGTATGAGCAAGTGGCCCTTTAGGGATGAGCATCTCCTTGCTTCTTGCATTCTACAGCTCATAGCAAGGTGCTCAAGACACCCCACAGCTGTGGGGAGCAGCTGGCACAAGAGAACTAAGTCCTGAGGCTGCAGCAAAGGTTTTGGGTCATTTGCAGTGGCTCAGTGGGAGCTTGCAGAGGCAAAAAGCAGCTGGAGATGGGCTCTACAGTTCTGTGCTGGTTTGCAGATTCCTCAGGAGTTGTCCTGGGTCATCTGGCTTCCACCAAGAGCGCTCCTCTTCTCTCCACAGATCACATCCCAGGTGCTGTCTGTCTGTCTGTGGTAGATTCCAGAGCAAGGAGGCCTCTCCATGCCATCTCTGCACATTGATTTCAGCCTGTGGCACCCCCATTGGGACACACGGATGCTCCAGGAAACAGCTGTGAACCCTGGGGCTGGAATGAAGATGCCAAAAACAATGCAGAAAACAATGCAGACTTACCCAGAGGTAAGTCTGAATTTGTGCAGGAAACTCTCAGGCAACACACCTGCTAAGGTGAAGCTGTTTTTCCCCTGCAACCTAGCCCTAATTCCAGGAATCAAGCATACCCCACACACCACCAGCTGGGACCATGTGGTGAGGTTTGTTTTGGATGCTACTCTCCAGCACCCCTTTCGGTGCAGCCAGTGTGCTTCCCATGGATGCTTGCTGCTGTCCTGAGCCCTTTATAACCTCAGTAGCCCCTGCTATAGGGCAGCATACTTGAGAACTAAAATGGCATGGTTTTGTAGGAGGGAGCAGGGGCTTTGTACCAGGGATCTGCAGAGCATCCTGGGCACAGCATGGCCAGATGGGAACATCCACTGCATGTCTGTGTTGGCTCTACAGAACTGCACAGGGGCACAGCACCTCTAGCAAGAAAACCTCTGCAACTCATTCTGCTGCCTTATCTTTTTAAAACATGACACGGTCCAGCTCATTGTGGCCGTGGGACACAGCAGCTGTGACAGCATCCCAGTGCTGCGGCATCCCGCTGCCCGCCTCTCCGAGGGGCCAGGGCTGATGCAGAGCAAGGCAGCAGCTTGGCGCTGCAGTGGGAAGCGGAGGTGTGTGGAGTGCTGTAGGTGTGCTGGCTGTGCCCCGTCGCTGTGGGGTAGAGCTGGTGCTGCAGGGAGCCCTTGTGGGATGGTGGTGGTGCGTGGGGTTGGAGGGCTGTGCAAGCTGGTTATCGCAGGGCTGGGGAAAGCAGGAGTAATGGAGGTAATGGAGAGAGGTGGCTTTGGTGGGGCTGCGTGATTTTCAGGTGCTCCAGAGGGTTGCTGAAGTTGATCAGGAAATGCAGCATCTCTCCCTTGTAAATGTTTTGGGCTGAGGCACTGGGGTGAGTGGAATGGCACAGCTGGTCTGGGAGCAATGGCTTTGGGTTGGGCCAATTCTTGGTATCCCCTGGGTGAGCCAGTGCCCTTGCCCCTGCCTTCAGTTTCACGGACAAAGGGGGAAACAGCCTGCAGGCCCCAGGCTGCCTCGTCCTGTTCCACTTGGCTGTGGGTGGTGTGGGGCTCTGTGTCAGTGGGCTGAAGCCAGCCCCAAGGGGCACCCAGCAGGCTTGGACAGCAGCAGAGGTGGCTGGCTGCGGGCTCTCTCTGCTCCATGCTTTGGTTCACAGGTCTTGGGCTGCTCCCAGTCGTCCTCCATGTCCTCGGGTTGTAGTTCCAAGAAATCCTTCAAGTTGGAGAAGTGTCCCCCTAAGGGGTGGCAGCTGATGTGTTTCAGCTGCTGATTGCAGTATGCGTGAAAGAAGCCGGTGAAGACAGCAGGTGCAGGGCCCCCATCCTCAGCTCTTGGGTAAGGCTGTCTGTCCTCCCAGGGGAGCACTGCGATGGGTCCTGCCTCACTCCAGCCTCCCCTGGATGCGTCCTTCAATCCTTTTGTCTCCGGGCTCCTCTGCTCCTTGAAGTGGGGGTTGGCTGCCAGCCGGCTGGGCTCTGGGTTGGGGTGAGTGCTGCTCGCCGCCCCATTGCCCTCCAGGCAGTGCTGTTAGTGGCAGTGGCAGGACTCTGCCTCATTCACCTGGGCCAGCAGCTTCTTCTTGTCCAGCAGAGACGTGATGGGGTCGTTGCCTTAGGAGTAAAAGCTGGAAAAGAGGCACTTGCAGGCTTCAGTGTGGGCGCAGCGAGTGCCGGGCCACCCCCCAGAGGGGCTGTGCCAGGGCCGTGGGGCTGGCACATTGCTCCACTGGCCAGCCTTGCTTGTGGGCCTCTGTTTGGTCTTCCTGGATGGGGAATGCAGCCATCAGGAGATACCTGGAGGGGCAAATCTGCTCAATGCATCTTTAAGATGGGGAAGAAGAGTATACGTATCTGAGAATACCTCAGTGGTAAAAATGTCAGCACTGATGGATATCTGTGATGGAAGCTTGTGCGGGAGCAATAATTCAGTAATAAAGTAGGTCAGATCCTTACGCTGAAGTTGGGTACCTTACAAGAACCATGTTGTGATTTTGTTTGACAGTTTGCTCTGCATGATGTGGATGGTGGAGCTGTGAGGATGTGATCCATTTCCAGTTGTGAACAGGATCGCTCTCAGAGCTGCTGCGGTAAGATACATGTGGGCTGACTGTAACCTGAAACTAATTGCCTCTGAATATCAGTGTATGTGTGGATTTTGTTTTTAATTCTGTGATTTCATCCTTGCCCTACAGCAGCTCTGAAGAGGCCTTGTTTTCCCAAACCCTGCTTTGCTGCTAATTGAGGCTGATGGCAAGTGCTGTGCTTTGAGCCCTTTGCTTTTAGTTTCTGTGGCCTGTGTACCCTGGAGGGTGCTTTCTTTCACATTTTTTTTTGTTTGCTAGCCACCTTTTTGGTAGATAAGATTTATTAGGGATGTTCTTGCTTTCCTGTGGTGGCTATACGTAGGTGCTGGACCAGGGGAGGTTATCAAAAAAGGGAAGAATTTGCTGCACTAATTGAATTGTAGCCTTTTAGACAAATGGAAGTTAAGGTGCTGATACTGTGCTGTGTAGCTGGAGGACTTCCTCAGGAATAATCTGGGCCTTTATCCCCAGTTCCCAATTTGAGCTTCTCCATCTGTTTCTACCCATATTGGAGCAGACCTGTATCTTGGAGGCAAGATCTGGGCAGTGAAAAGCTTAGTCTTGAGGGATATGGACTGGCCACGTTAGTATGTGAAATGTTCAGGCATGGAAGAGAACAGCCAGTTTACAGCTGAGGAATAGTTTGCCTTTCCTCTGAAATTCTTGCCCCTGGTTTCTATGAGCACTGTTGCCCACTGCTTGCAGTGAGACTCAGCCCTGGGTATGAGGGGGCCTGGTGCTCAGCGAGGTGTAACTGCAGCTCTGCACTGAAGCAAACTGCACCCAGCAGTATCACAGGAGCTGGAACACCTGGTGTGTGCTTGGTTTTAAACTGGACGTGCTGTAATGGTACTGGACTTGTGGGCTGCCACTCATTACCTTGGGAGATTTCTGTAAGGCTGTTTGAAGACGTTAAGACTGCCAAGTGTCCTCGTGCCCTTCTGTCAGCGATGACTGTTCTCAAGGCACACACACAAGCAGAGTCATACTGTCAGGTTTGTTTTTGAAGTGAAGAGACAAAAATGAAATAGGGCATTTTTAGCTTGGATCAGTTCCCTAATCCGGTGCAGTGCGTGCTCTCACACTGAGAAGGTGATGGCTGAGCAAGGCTGGGGGCTGCTGGTGCTCCTTAAGAGGGCAAGGAGCTGAGCTGTGCTCCTGGCTGGAGCTAGCAGGTCTGCAAATGGCTGTGCTGAGGGGTCAGGCCTTGCAGAGAGCTGGGGCCAGCAGCTGGGAGACGACGGCTTCACAGCCAGCCCTCCTGCAGATCACCATGACTGGCGTTGGGCTGCAGCCTTGCGTGATACCTCGGGTCAAGCAGGGGGCTGGAGGCAGGTGATGTTACTGGGTGGGAACCACCAAACCAACAATCTTCCACGTTCCTGTGCCTTGTACAGGCTGTGGGAACTGGAGTTTGTTTTAGAGTGAGTTGCAAACTTCTGCAGTGCCCAGTCTCCAGTGGTTCAGTCTGTCCGCTCTTGAAGTCAGTGGGAGCCTTCCTGGTAGTTTGGTTATTCAGCTGTTCCATGAGAACCTTCCCTAAATAAAAGTATTTAGCTGTGGAAACATTTGACCGTAGGCCAGCAGGCAGAAATAGTGTGTGCAGAGGGGTTTGTGAATGTACCTTGACTCTCTCTGTGCTGTGAGTGCTGCAATACCATGATAAAAATAATATAAAGGATTCTAATAACTAATGAATTTGTATGTTAATAGATTAAGTGTTGTCTTAAGGGCAGCAGTTGGAGTCCATCTAATAAAAGTTGGCTGGAGGTGTGTCCTGTGGCTATGGCAAACTTTGCTTCATGGTAGCCTGTACTTTTCAGTAGCTGCTTGGCACGCTGTGATGTGGTTGGAGAGGGAGAAACAGAGCACTGGTCATTTCCCAGCAGATCGCGATAAGTTTCTACTCAGTCACGATGCTCTGTGCTCTGACAGGTTTATAATTATTATCCTAAGATTGATGTCTCTGAGGGGACTGTAAAGATGTGCAGCATTAAGAAATCACTAATCATTGCATCTTGAAATGCAGTTTCACAGATGCGCATCAAAGGTTTGATTCTAGGCTTGTCATTCCTCTCCATCCCTTCCTCTCCTCTCAGCTCCCAAGTTCAGCGTCCTTTGCTGTGTCAGAAAAGGGACTGTGTGGTGGCCCACTTCTTCCCTGATGGAAAACCAGGGATGGGAATACCAGCACCGTTGGAGAGGCTGTTCAACTTGCTGTGTGAGCTTTCCTTTCCCCACAGTGCTGTTTTGATCTTAGGAAAGTCCCCCTCTTCTCTTGCATAGTTTTGTCCCTGCTGGATGAGGGTGATGGAGGTTCACACACTGTTTCTCCATGAAGGGCTCTGGAGGGCCGTGTCAGCTGTGTGCAGAGTTGTGGTTCGTGCCCATTTCCCTTTCCTCCCTCTCCCTCCTCATTCAGCCCTCATGGAACATCAGGAGTTTGGCCGTCAGGTGCCGCCGTGTCCTGCAGGACTTCCTTCTTTCGCTCTGAGTTCTCCCCAGTCGGGCCTGTTTTGGAGATGCTGTTGTAAGTGATGCTCTGATCTGGAGAGCTGGAAACCTCTTTATCTCAGAGCACAGCTGTTCACAGCTGGCAAATAATAGACTGCATGATGGAGACTGGGAAACTACTTCAGTTTCTCTGTGGAAGGCTCAGCTTTACAGCACGAGGTTCTGAGCCGGTCCGGTTTTGCTCTCACAAGGAAAGTAGAGGATTGGAAAAGGAAATGCTGTCACAGCAGTAAGAATGTGCTCATCTACTGACTTCGGTGGGCCTTGGCTAGGAGCTACAAAACGCCTGACTAAGAGTGCTGACACTATTTCCTTACTGTTTGTGTTCATTCTTCCTCTACGTTCTGTTAGAGTGGGTTGAAACATTTTTTCAAGTGTTATTT